CGGGCCTCCTCAGGGTGCCGTCGGCCAAGCAATGTCGGCTGGCGACCCCCAGGGGGAGGGCCTTCTCTGTGGGTGCCCCCACCCTCTGGAACGAACTACCCCCCGAGATCCGGACGATTCCGGATCTCCTAACCTTCCGCCGCGCCCTCAAGACATGGCTTTTTCAGCAAGCGGGACTGACCTAGGGTGAATTTTAAATGGGGACAATTTTAATGATTTTAATAAGACACAGCTATAAATATTTGGTTTTTAATTGGCTTTTATAGGGGAAATGTTTTGTGTTGTTTTAACATGCTGTGAGCCGCCCTGAGTCCCGTGGGGAGAAGGGCGGCATATAAGTTAATGGAAATAAATAAATAAATAATAAATAAATTCCATTCCATATTTTCTATTCTGTTCTGTTCTGTTTGCGTTGTGTACACAAAGATGTACAGTAGTCCTTGACTTGTAACCAGAGCTTCAACAAATCCGAGAAAGGAGACTTCCAACCTGGATCCAAAGTTTTGACTGCCGGGGGGGTGGGGGCAGTCATGTGGTTGCACTTCGGTCACTCTGCAACATGCTTGCCTTTGCAGAGTTGTGACTGCATTTTACAATGGTTTTGCCAAACACCGGCACTTATTTCCGAGTTTTGGCAAAATCACGCCCCTAGCGAACCATCTGTTCTCTTCGCAGCGGGGGTCTTTGTTTAACGACCATGGCAAAACCCATTGCTTATGACCGTTACAACTTAATAACCACAACGGGCAGGCCCGTTAACAGTCGTAAATCAAGGACTATCAGCACAGGGAAAGCAGAGACAAGATAGGCCGATTGATATTTAGTATTAATATTAGTAATAACGGTGATTCACAAAGTAATTCTGATAGGCAACATACATTGGCCTTAATGCACCTTTTAATGGCGGGCTGTAGCCTTTAGGCTTAAACCTTAACGAAGGTCTGAAGGAAGCAAAACTCCCTCTTAAAATAATTTAGTTTAATTTTTCCAACTCTGTTCCACCACTTACCTCTTTTTAACCTCTTTACAGACGGTTGGGAGACAGCCAGCTGCAGCGAAGAGGAAGATGATGAAGAGGGAGAGTGGGTGGACGTGCACCACTCCTCGGATGAGGAGCAACAAGCGATAGTAGGGCGTTCTTTTACCCTTACATTTTTGCCAAACATTTTCCTCTATGACTATAATTATGCTTTGCTAAGTTCCTGGCTCATTGAGCTGGGCCTGAATTTGCAGGGTGAGACAGCCAGGCACATTCTAGGACAGGGCTTTTCCACCTTTTCACCCATTGTGCCACTTTTAG